TCATTTTTTTGGGTTGATTTTTCTTTGTTAAATGGCATTTAAATATATAAAATAAATATCAAAAATATAAATTTTTTTACTATGGTTGCAAATATCAAAAAATTTCTATATGTGACATGGCACCAGAGTTAAGTTAGAGTTTTTCAAAATGCTGACATGCCGAGTTCAAAAGGTTCGCCATCTCTGTTCTAGCCCCTCCCTTTGCTAAAACAAATTGGAAAGACAAAAATATACATAACTATCTCCCTGGTATGGAGACTCGAGCCTGTTAGATCAAACAAGTAGCGGCTCTGACACCACAGGACCGCCTCCTCCACTTTGGACAGAGCTGAGAAGAACCACAGTTGCGCAGAGAAGGAAATTAACGTACTGTGATTACCACCAATGACCCTGTGAAGGTCAGGAGCAGAACCTGGTGTTTCACACTGAATGACAACCTTCCGTGTTGGCACCACGGCATCTGCTTGGCCAAGCAGCGAGTCCAGACCAGCAAGAGCGAGTTCTGAGTCTCTGAGGACGTCACTCATTACTAGTTCTAGAAACAGTTGCATCTGTGACAGCCAGAGAGGCGGGAAAATGATTTTCCACCCAGACAGGTTAGAAATAGTTGTTAAAATATAATCATAAAAGTTCTCATTGCTTTTGGGAGTTTCGGCGTCTCACTTTTAGAAAAGAATGTACAACTTATGAATGCATTTCTGAGCCTTCCTGGGGTCAGCTGCCACTCTGGTCCTCAGATAAAGTGAAAACCAAGACTTTAATTTCCAGTCACCACTAGGAGGCGCTCCTCCTAAGTCAGAGCCACAACTGAGGGATGGAAGACCAGACAAGCAGCATGGACACTGCCTCAGACAGGTGGAGTAAATTAGCATGAATACCAACTAATCAAATGTAAACACTTCACGTTCTGGACTAAACAACTTCAAGGGGAAACACTGGTCACCAACTTGGCTACAGGTACACAGCAGTTGCTGTGGGTCATGGCTTTCCTATGCACTACCCCAAGGCCCCAACCCAAAGTCCATTTAGAAATTTAAAGAACTCTGCAGCCAAATCCTGACTTCCAAAATGTCCCCGGGGAATCGGCTCCCCGAGGACAAGTGCTCACATCACAATGACTGTTTCTGCACGGCTGGATGCACAGCCTCACAACAGTGAAAACAAACTGCAATTCTGCGTTTACAGAGGGAACCACCACCTACACGATACATGCCCAGGGCACTGCTCTTACAGGCAATTCAACTAAAAAGAAAAAGGGCTGTTTGAAACCATCATGAATTCATAAAATCCCGCCACACCCACGCAGTGCTATTGGTTGGCTGGCGCTAAGACATAGCTGTTAAAGCCATGAGATAATTTATGTACTAAATCCATCCTTTAAAGAAACAGACACGAACTTTTCATGGTAAAGACAGGTTTGCCCAAGCCGTTTTAGATTCCCCATTTGCCTTTATCCCCACTTTCCCATCACAGTGTCATCGTTACTAAGAAATGCCTTCATTCTCCCTTAAGCCCAGGGATAGGCCAGTTGGAGCAGATGCTGAATCAGAAGACCTTGGAGAATCACGATGCTGAAGATACATTTGTGTCCAATTTCCTCGTGAAGAAGACAATTCCAAACCCTTTGCACCAACCGAATTAAGTGAACACCTTCAGAACCACGGATTTTTGACATATTTTTGGCATAAGTAAAATAAAGGTTTGGTAATTATTTTAAAAGAGAATACTGCCATGCACAGTGAAGAAACTAATTTATAAGTAGGCTTTAACATTAAAACAGTTTTAGAGAAAGTCCATGTTTCCCCTTGTTTATGTCTATAAAGATGGTAAGCACAATGGGGAAAAAATTACAACTGGAAAAACCCATGCTATGAGTTGGAGTAAATTCTACCACTTTACACTTAGGTATTTATTCTCCAATGACCATTTACTTTCGATTCTCAGCAGAAGTCCATACTATGACTTTTTTAATTGATTTCAAAGAAGAAAGGAGAGGGGGAGAGATAGAAACATTAATGATGAGAATCACTGATTGGCTGCCTCCTGCACACCCCACACTGGGGATCAAACCTGCAACCTGGGCATGTGCCCCAACTGGGAATTGAATCGTGACCTCCTGGTTCATAGGTCGACACTCAACCACTGAGCCACACCAGCCAGGCCATCCTATGACTTTTTATTTTATTTTTTGCTAATCCTCACCTGAGGACATTTTTGCAATGATTTTCGGAGAGAGTGGAAGGGAAGGGGAGAGGCAGAGAGAGAGAGAGAGAAACACCAACATGAGAGACACATTGACGGGTTGCCTCCTACACACCCCAACCAGGGGTGGGGATCCAGTCTGCAACTGAGGTATGTGCCATTGATTGAAATCGAACCCAGGACCCTTCATTCTATCCACTGAGCCAAACTGGCTAGGGCCTATCGTTTTTCAATAAAAATAGTTTTTCCCATTCTCCAATGACCATGTATATACAATAGTGTGCAAGATTTTGCTCAAACTAAGAATGCAACATCAGTAAGTCACCCGAATTTGTACTTTTTGCTTTCACATTTGACTCTCAACACAAGTTATGCTATGAATTTTTATTACAAAAACCTTTTATTTTTAATTTTTTTTAGACTTAGAAGTTATGAAACTAGGACAAAAAGTTCTCTTATATCCCTTAACTCCCCTAGTGTTCTCATCGTATATAACAATCAAATAATTACCACAAGGAACTTAGCATGGTGCAATATTGTTAACTAAAGACCTATTTGAATTTCACCAATTTCCCACTTACTGTCTTTTTTCCTCTCCAGGATCTCACATTGCACTGAGTTATTTTTTAGTCTCCCACAGTCATTAAAGACCAGTCTTTCCTTTTATGACCTTGACATTTTTGAAGAGCACTGATCAGATATTCTCATCCTCAGATCCTCACTTCATTCGTCCAGAGGTTCAAGACATTCTCACGTGTCATTTTTGGTGATGTTTACTTTTATTTCTTGGTAATGTTGGTGCCTACCAAGTTCCTCCGATGTCAAGTCACTATTTTGCCCTTTGTAGATGGTTAGTATCTCAAGGGTGATGCAAACCCTGTGTCCCCTCAAACTTGCACCCACTAACTTTTTCATCCATTGGAGAGTCTTCTTGTCTGCATAGTCATCACCACGGTGTTTGCCAATGGCGACCCTTTCCTTCCCTCTTTCCTTCCACATTTACTAACAGGAGTCTGCTGCAAGGAAGAACTTTCCTCTTGCCCATCTGTGTGTGTGTTTACTAGACTGCTTCCACCCATGGAACTCACTGTGGCAGGCACACTACAGGACGACTGCCAGTGAGCCACACTCTTGACTGAGGGCAGAACCTGTGACCTGGCTTCTAAACAAAGAAATAACAAAAGTGATAAAATATCACCCCTAAATCGTATGGAGGC